ATGGCGCATGGGCGAAGGGGAACGGCGGCGGTCGCGGCGACCCTCCCGCGCGGGATAGCGCCGGTCCACATTCCGCGTCGGGGAGCGCCGGCCATCCCCGCGCGCCGGGGAGCACCGGTCGGAGCGGGGTGGAGAGCAGCGTGAATCGCGTGGAGGAGAGCGCAGGGAGACGCGGGCGGGGTAGCGCCGGGCGTCGCGCGCCGGGGAACGCCGGGGCTCCCGGGAGGTCAGCTGGGGGTGGGGTGGGGGTGTCACAGGGGATGAAGGAGGACGAAAGTGCTGGTGTGGTGGCCGGCGTCGGAGCAGGGGAGGGGTAAGTGGGTTGCCGCAGGGGATAGCGGCCTGCAGCAATGATACGCAGGAAGTTTTCTTTTTCTTGTTTTGAGGGGAATACGCATGATCGGCTAGGGATTCCTCTTATACCGGGTGGAGGCAGCCTCTTATGCCGGCTAAAGGAAACATGGACATTTTTAAAATAAATTTTTATACTTTTTATAATTTCATAATCATTTACAAAATGTAAACGTTTTAAAAAACAAGAAGATTTTTAATTTTGAAACATTTTTTCAGACATCATCAACATTTGAAAATAACATAAACAAAAAGGAAAAAGAATGTAGTTTAGACAAGAAGATGTTCATCAGTCTCAAGGTCCACGGCATCATCTTTTCTTTATGTCTGATCAAGAAGATGGTTGTTGGCCACAAAGTTCACCGCGTCATAATCTCGTCTAGACAAAATCCCTTCCTGTCATTGCTTTTTGCACGTAGTCTGTAAGTGAAAATGTTGGCGCTCTTGAGAGCCCAGTGCTTCTCCATGCATTTGAGAATCTTTGGAATGAAGAACAAGATTGATGCCCAAAACAACCTCTTGTTGCCGCTATGCCATGATTTTCAGAACATGTACGTGGCTACGGTGGCTACGGTGACCTATGACCATAGTTTTCAGTTTCAGTGAGATTACGATGAAACCATTGAATTTCATTATTTCAGTGGACGCTAAAATATTTACCTTCCAGCCAAAACATTTCAGCAATTTCAGTAGTACATAAAAATTACAATATTTTAAAATATTTTTCAAAATGCCCATTCCGATGTTGTAGGCGGTAATGTCGTCCCGTCTGCAAAGGTGCACCAAGAGAAGTGTCACTCACACCACTTCCAGAATGTTATTGCATTTCCCAGGTTTGCAATCTTGCCTCCTCTCGTTCTAGAAGAGGGTGGCAAGGGCATATATAGCAAGAGCGTTGCTCCCTAGGTACGCAAGCCATATTATGGATTTGAACCAGGAAGGAATAGCAAGCTTACACAGAGAAGCAGAGAGGAAGAGGCACCGAATGAAGAGGTTGCGGAATACAAGGATGCAAAACTACCACTCTTCCAACAATAGCACAACACTTGAGAGACCCATCTCTAGTCCATGGCTGGTATCTACCGCTCTCACATCCAATCATCAGTTCAGATACTACTACCATTGCAATGGTGACA